ACAGAAAATGATAAAACCTCAACAAAGACATTCTGTAGTTAATTCTTCTGATACTGCTGCAGTAAGAAGTCGAAAAAAGTAACAAAAAAGATTTTCAATTAAAATATTTTGTCAATTTTAATAAATAAATTAAAGAAATAATTATGTTAAAATAAAATGTACATAAATTACAGCATCAGAATATTTCATGTTTATAAAATGAAATTATTTTCGATCGAATAACTACAACAAACCATAGGAGGATACAATAACACTGTTTGCCATATTACGAACAAAAATTACAATAAAATTATGTGGTAAGACAGATGGCAAAAGTTGTGCAAGTCAACACAATATTGGACAGTAAATACTATAATTTTTAAAAACATTTAATAAATTATCGGTGTAATACCACTATATTTTTTCTAAACAACATAAAACTTTTTTGCAAAATTCTATTTGATTATTCAATTATAGTAAGCGTGTAATGAGTATATCAAAAGTAAAGGACAAAAAATCAATTCTACTGTTGCACGTAAACGAAAAAAATTCTATAAAAATAGTTCGCACTTACTATATAGTATGAAAATTACATGTCGCTACATGAAACATTTGAATATACTTGGAAAATATTTTTCTGTCCTAAAAGTGATACTTAGTTAAGAAAATATGCGAATATAGAACGCCTTAAATTCTGTAACTTGTTGGCACAATATTAGCATTCATTTGATAATACACTGTCGAAAAAGAATAATAACAAAAAAGTTAAAAATTAAATTGGTAGATACCACAATAATAACTGCACTTCTGCTAGAATATCAACCGTTGTCTTCAAAAAGATTTATTACAATTCACATTCCTGACTCTGCAATACCTTCGTCATCTATAAATAATTTAATAGAAAAAAAAACGTTAAATCGGAATTTTAAATTCTTTTAATTGAAAGCTACTTTTAATTTATTTAAAAACTATGATAAACGAGCATGGAATGGAAATAAATAAATAATTGCATGTATGGGTGTTAAGGTAAGTGAATGTAAAGTCAGAGCTAAAAAACAAATGACAAAAAAATAGAAGTCACCGATTTTTGATTTTAGAATCATAAAACAAATTCTGTGCTCACGAACAATTAATTTGGAAAAAGATTATTAAATGTGTATATTTCGAGCAAACACGGCTGAAAAAAAAATTAGAAGCGTTTGAAATATGGAAAAGGAGAGACAAAAAGCTCGTTAGAGACATATTAGAACCAGAACCAGGAGTTCAACAGTGAAGTGTCCAACCGGCCATCAATTTTAGAAGATTATGTTAGTGTTAGTTGAAAGCTCTACTGTGTGTTTATGTGTTTTAAATTTGTACACGAAATATTCTCTAAGGGATTAATGTTAAATATTATACAGATCGTCTTAAATGAATGAGGTTGTTGCTGCCGTCACCTTTCGTAAAATCAGGTGCCAGGGTTCGATTCCCGGCGGGGGCGTGTGACGGCAACGATTATTTTTCCTCATTAATTTAGGCTAATTTTTAGAGAATAGAAAGTTAATTTCAAGTAATGTTTAATAAGGCTTCTACGTGATAAAGGAAAAATTAAATTTAAGAGAATACAAGACAAACCTTTCTGCAATAAATGTTGGTATTAATTAAAACGATAAAATTTAGGAGGAGATCATGCAGTTGAAAGTAAAATGAAAGCGTGCTAAGAAATTAAGCCTTTACAGTTACCCTCTAGAGCAAATGAAGTTGGCACTACATCCAATATAGTATTCAGTAGTAGTAGTACTAGTATAGTTGTGCTACTTTAGCTTCTCCCCAGAATTCAATATACCATTTCCAACACCTTTGCCTGAACCACAGAACAACTGCTTTATAAATGGCCAAACCGTCTGGAATACCATTTCTGCGTTTGCATCAGAAAGGCAGGTTTACACTAGTTTTAACCACATGAGAGCTACATCAATATAAATATGCAAAGTGCAAAAACATACAACGCTACACCGTCATCCGTTATCAATTACCTTTTAGTTTTCTTTTTTGGATTAACAAAAGGATTAACAAACAAAAAACAAAAATTAAGCCGTTATGCACAAAAAAACACACGGAGATATTTCATACGAATGAAGAATCACTTTTGACTTTGATTCATGATCTACATTTAAAGCTAAAAAAATTGATTTTTATAGCTTAAAATTTTGCATTTTACAATTGTTTGACGGTTTCATTTGTAAACCAAAGTAACAATACGTTCCATATTTTGCAATGTTATATCAGCATTTTGAAAGAACACTACCAAGATCCTCGTTTAAAGTAGCCAATAGGTGGGATAAGTACTTACCATTTTGTGATCGATTAAACCACACTTTGAACTGATTATGACGTAATGAATTTCTAGTTCTTTAAGATGAGAACGTGGTTAATGGATGGCTTAGAGTTCAATAAGAACTCATGTACTGACGACGTATTTTATCGAAACAGGTTGAAGATTACTTACGATGTTAAAAGAAGTTATGGTTTTAGATAGATCATCGTGTGGGTTTTTAAGGGATATTAAGCAAACCGTGGGGAAACGCTTGGTTGTAGTGTGAATGAAATGTAAAAGGTCGATTTGCGTCTGTTCTTAGACGTGCGGTCACTTTATGAATACCTGATACATTGACAGTAGAATTATTTATTGCTTTCAACACTAGCTCTGTTTAAATCGCACAGGACTTTGCATTTGGTGCATTTTTTGGCAACCTTTTTTTTTACAGACAAACCTCGATATTACCCTTTCAACTTTTTGTCGTTATCACATATAGTAGATCTGTTTTTCGTAAATAAAATAACACTACCAAGATACCCATTTAAAGTGGTCTGGAGGTGGATAAGTAGTTACCATCTTGCGATCGATTAAAACTCACTTTAAACTGATTATTATGTAGTTAATTCCTAGTTTCATAAGATGAGAACGTGGTTAAACGACTGCCTAGACTTCAATAAGAACTCATGTACTGACGACGTCTTTTAACGAATCCGGTTGAGGATTACTTACAATGTTAAAAGAAGTGATTGTTTTAGATAGATCATCGTATGACTTTTTAAGAGATATTAAGCAAACCGTTGGGAAACGCTCAGTTGTAGTGTGAATGAGACGTAAAAGGTCAATTTGCGTCTGTTCTTACACATGCGGCCACTTTATGCGAACCTGATACACTGAAAGTAGAATTGTTTATTGCTTTCGGCAGTAGCACGGTTTGAATCGCACTTTTATGCACTTTTTGGCTACCTTACTTTTTACAGGCAAACCTCGGTAGTCCCCTTTCAACTTTTTGCCAATATCAAAGATAATAATTCTGTTTTTCGTAAATAAAATGAGCTAAATTTTTTTAGGTATTTTGTTTAGTTACCTTAAATATTGTTAATATTTGTGCGTAACAGTAAAAAAAGCTATCGGTGGTAAAAAAGCTAATTCTATAATAACTTACTAATAACTAAGTGCACATTTACCTACTTATTATAAAAGTGTAATAAGTGATATTGAGACAAATAAATTAAAAGTAAATAGTGAAGCTGCAAAAAAACGGTGCTGTTAATTACACTGTACATATTTATTGTAAAACCTGGCCTTTGTTTAAAAAATCCAAACACTTACCTTCGAACCCTTGGTTTTCATGTATTTCTCTAGGAGGTCCAGTCAATTCTTTCCCTTCCAGCACTGTCAAGAGGCACTGATGGATACAGATGTATTGCTGTTCGGTCTGCACCATCCAAACTCGCTCTTTACGCATTTGGTAAACGATTCCGAAAATGTCCACGTAATCCATCACTTGAATCTGCTGTAAGATACGATCCAAGCAAATGAATGTACCGGATCTTCCGACACCAGCACTGAAACAAAAAATGACAATGATTATTTTATCGTTAAATTTCACGATTATTTGTAATCTAATATTACCTGCAGTGTACCACAACTGGTCGTTGGTCTGCCCCTATCCTTTCCCTGAAGGCCCTGACGAACCTGACCAGAGTATGGGGTGGATTTGGAACTCCAAAGTCTGGCCATGTCGTGAAATGGAAATGCCTGATGACACGCTGGACGTCGCCCTGAAATAAACCAGAATACAAATTGGTGGTCACACATCAGTCAATTCATATGCCATAGCAACACTTACCCTACAGACCATGAACTCTGAAACGTTCCAATCAGGGTATCTGGTCTCGTTCAGAATTTGCACGGAAATGTCCCCGTAACATGCGGGCATAGCGTCGTAAGGCCAGTAATGGTCACACTTTTCCCGACCTTTTTCCACGCATCTCGTTAACATTACGATGGCTCTCGAGTTCGATTCCCAGACCATTCTCCAAAAATCGTCTCTGGTCGAATGAAGTGGCCCTTGTGTCACTATGAATTCTCGTGGAGAATTGTGTCCCTAAAAAGACATTATAAAATAGATTAATGATGAAAATAATCATGTAATTGTTATTACCGGAACATAATTGGCATTTATATAATCCGAGCCTTCTTCATCATCTACTGGTTGCAATTTGAATCTGGAATGGTCATATGGCAATATATTCGTGAAACGATTCTTTGGCCTATTGCAAGGTAGGTCGGCAAAAGTGCAAGGTTGATCCCTTCCAACATGCTTCAGTTCCTCGAATTCCTCACTAAACCTGATAAATAATATAAATGTTATACATTTTAATAACTATTCTCATAAATAAATTATTTTACCTAAAGTCAGAGTCTGCCGACATGATTCGATAATGGTTCGAAAAATTTTCTACTCTAATTGGTCGACTGGTTACGATTACAGAGTCAGGCAAAGACATGTTATCGTTAACCCTTGCTTCTGTTGCCTTTCTGCCAGCAGACCGTCGTTTTCTTATCAATATAACCGTTATAAATAGTAAAGCTATTAGAATAATTGGAATTATTACTCCAAGAATTATCGGAGTATTGTCTTGATCTGAAATAAAAAGTAATAAAATCATAAACAAATCCGCGTCCGCAAAATAAATTAAAAATAATTTACTACATTGCACAGCAAAATACTTACAGTCTAATTTTACCACATCAGAAGCTTTAGAAAAGGAAATAAAATTTGTTTATAAATGCAAGATGGTAATGATATTCTTTTGTAATGTTACCTGTTTGAATGGGGAAACTGTAACTGGTGTCCGTGAATTTATCTGGAGCCGTAAAGGCCCTTATTTTTACTCGATACGTGGATCCAGATTTCAGAGGTCCATTACAGTACCCAACTTTACGAATATCACAGGATTCCGCTCCAATGGTGAAGTCCTCGACTGTACTGTTTTGGAATGGATAATAGGGTTCCATAACTTGATAAGGGGGCCACACAGAATAGGCTTGCACGTCCCTCCAAGAAGGCATTTCGAGCCCCGAAGAATTTTTAGTGTCATCTTCAGCAACGATTATTGCATAAGAAATTACCTACAAAATAAAAATATTACATACACTTACAAAAAAAAAAAAACAATAAATACTCACGGGTCCGTTAGCTTCGCTGAAATAATTTTTCCTGAATCTAATTTGTATGCTAGTCGTACTCTTGCAAACTTCGGTAGGAACAACTTGCATACTAGGTTTTGGTGGTGCTAAAATTGGCATTTTCTGCTTCCACACCGTTTCCGGACCGAAACCAATCCTAGTTTCGGCTTGAATCCGGAAAACGTACGTTTTACCAGGAATGAGATGCTTGATTTTTCCTTTGAATGTCTGAGGACTAAAATCTTGGAATACTGTATGTGCAGAACCCTAAAATTTTACAACAAAAAAAATAACATATCCTACCAATAAAAGAAATAAAAATATTTTCACCTCCAATCCGTAAGTGATGGTAAACTTGCGTATAACTCCATTCTGTTCAGTTATTGGTAAGGCCCATTCAAAAGAAATTTCGCTTGGTTGTATGTCAACTGGGTCGAATTTTTCCACTTTTCCCGGTACTGATTCCTTTGTTTGGAAAATTGCACTTACCGGAGTGGATTTTCTCAATATGGTTGATTGGGTTCCACTCCTGACAACGACTGTAAACGTGTAATTTCGATGCGGTTTTAAATCATTGATAGTTATCGAATTATGCAAACTCAAATTCTGTATGAGAACATTTTCAGAAGTTAAATATTGAACTTCGAAAGCATTGTATTCTCCTCGCGGAATTCCCCACGTTAACGTTATTTCAGTGTCGCTGATATACGTTGCGTTTATACCTGTTATCGGTTCAGGATCTGAACAAAAAAATTAAATACGTAATATTCAACAATTTCAACTCCAACATTCATTAAAAACTTACAAAGTCTGTCCTGCCGTTGTAATGGCTGGCTAGCAACGTTTTCGGAAACGGTCCAAACCGTTATATTATACAATCTCCCAGGTATAAGACCAGTAAATGTAACAAAACGTTCAGAATCATTGGCCAGTTTTTCTTGAACAGAAATGGTAGCCTCAGATAAGGAAAATCTGTAATGATCAAATTTGGAAATGGTCTGAGGAGTTGGAGTATAACGCAAGCTCAAAGAATCGGTCGACTGTTGATTATTGACGACCACCACTTCCGATTGTATAAGTGGCACTAAAATATCAAACAAATATTAACAGATAGACAATTACAAATTAGTAGTCATTTACTTGTTCTTGTTTTGAGTATTGTAACTCCACTTTCCAGTCCATTTGATATTGCGTTGATTTCGAAAACGTATTCAACTCCAGGCATTAGATCTCCGATGATGATTCGAATATGACCAGTGCCATTTTGATTTTGACTTTCGTTGCGTTTGTTTATTTGTGTGGGATTGGTTGCTTCCCACCATCGAATGACGTAATACTCAATTTTGCCTTCAGGACGTGGCCAGTCCAACGTAACATTATTCGAATCGACCATGGGTATAACATTTGTAACACGATTGGGAGCTACAAGAATATAATAGAAAAAAATGGTAAGACCACGAAGAAAAAATCAATCGAATTACTCACCAATGGTATGATTGAGCTGTTGGGGTTCGTTACTTTCCAACCCGTAGCTCACTGTATTGATTTGAATTGTGTACCTTTCGCCGGGGGTCATGTCCGTAACTTCGGCTTCGGTATTTTGGACAGCTGGCAATCGAACCCAAGTCCTATCCGAATCAGTTCTGTATCTAATCGCGTATTCGGAAACTAAGGAATCAGCAGGTTTGTGCCACTGAACTATCACAGTATTTTTAGCAGACGTTTTTTCGATTGTCATGTTTTGAGGCGGACGCGGAACTAAAACAAGGACAACAAAGTAACACCCCATTTACATACAAGGGACAAATATTACTTACACACTGGTTGGAAGTATTCGTGAGGTTCGCTTTTTAAATTATGCGATATAGCAAATACCTTGACTGTATACCCGGCTCCGGGGTACAGATTCGTCAAAACAATTCGAGATTCGTAGGTGTTTCTTAAAATATTTTCGAGGGTATCGTTCCTTATGAGTTGGATTTCGTATTTATCTTGTTTGGAGTTTACGTCAGATTTCCAGCTGATATTCAGCCCGTCAATCAAGGGTTTGGAATCTTCGATAATGGGTGCACTGGGTCGGGTAACTACATACAAATAACTATCGTTCGACTCCATTTTCTTCGAAACTGCTCGTACCGATATCGAATAATTTCTACCGGGTAGAAGAGTATCTAAAATTATTTGCGTCTCGTTGGTAGCAACTGTGTTGCTATCCCCTGTCGAAGTTTCAACTTCGTGATACGACACAATGTAACTTTCTTGAAAACTATCAGGATTTGCCGTCCAAGAAATATTTACAATACCGTTTTTATCATCGGCTTCCGCTTGAAGATGAATTACCGGAAGTGGTTCTAGAAACGGCAGAATTGTTTATTAACAACTTTAATAAAAAACGGATTAGAAGCTCCTTACTCAAAGTGACATCAGCTGAAGACGGCCAAGATGTTACTTTACCAGAAACGGTTTTCACCAACACCTGGTAAGTTTTACCGGGTTCTAAGTTGTCCTTAAACTCCCAAAAATGAGATTCCTCTCTCAATCTTGTTACAGGTACCTGTTTTCTAACTGTTCCCAATGAAATATGATACTTATCGAACTCACTAAAATATCACAACTACAAATTAAACATACATATGCGCGTATATGTATTCACTAACCATTTCCCATTCGGGGCATCCCAGTGGACAACAAAAGAATGTGAAGTGATTGAGCTTTTATCGAAGCTTACGTTAGAAGGTTTTAAAGGCACAGTACGGTACTGGGCAGTGGTTGGGGTCGATATTTCGTCCTCGGACATCGTTTGGACGGATATGTTATACGCCCGTCCTGGCACTAAGCCTTTAAACGCGGCTTGGGCCGGACCTGGAGGCTCGCCCTCTTTTTCCACATACAAGACACTGTCAACAGCGTCAGGGGGCTCGATTGAAACCTTATAATGAGAATAAATAGCCGCTGGGTACGGCGGCTGCCACAATACAAGAAGCGTTGTCTCATTCCGAAACCAAACTATAAATTTTCCAGGAGTGTTCGGCTCTTTAATAGGACAAAAAGTACATAATAACTTTTGAAACTTTACCACGATGAATTTTATTAGAATAAAAGGCCAGATCGAGCATTATTTTGCAAACTGGACTGAATTAAAATTGAAACAAAAATGTAAAAGTGAAATATTTCTTTACTTTCCCTGTGATTTTAAAATCTGATATGAAAATAATTTTCACAATAGACTCTTTCGGGCCGATGTTCTATGCAACCATAAATGACTCACTTGTAGTAAAGTTCCGTGAAGTGTATGCTGCGCTCTCCCTGCCCTCAAAAACTGTGAAAGCCTGAATCTGGTATGTTGCGCCAGGGGTGAGATTTCTTAAGAAGTACGGCGATCCTTCGATATCCTCGACAACGGGAATCGATATCTTGTCTAAACTAGCTGACAACGCGTTAATTTTTAGTTTAAAGTTGGAAAAATTGCCCTGAGCAGGTGGACTCCACGTTATGATTGCAGTTTTCCCGCTCCGCACGGATACAGATAAATTGGATGGAGGGTCAGGAACTATAAAAAGACAGTTATACTGCCACCGAAGTATGTTGTGAAGAAAATGTTACGCTATTCAAACTGTTAATTACTGTATTCTATCAATAAATAAAACAATGCCGTTCGTAATATTTTATACTCTTTTAAATTAAACCNCCTTACTTAAAACATTACCTAATTAAATGGTCATCGCCGATAATAAATGCCGTTTGGCAAGCGGCAACGTATCATACTTTAATTGCCAAAGAAATTAAGAAATCGCTTTCATTAAAGCTTGCTGACGAAATTGTATATTTACTCAAACAACAATAAGCTACTTTGGTCACTAAAAATAATGTTATTTTAGAAAAGCCAATCATAATATCTATATCATGTGGGTATGAATGACATTCTAAAACATTAAAAAAGAAATATTTTAACACGTATCAAATGGTGTGAAAATAATAACGAAAATTAATATTTACTTAAATTTCTTCATATATAAATTGTGATGTCGCTTTTTATTTAGAAAGTCCACTCTTTTGTTATAAAAATTTAGCTAAATCACTATGAATCATATAGATGAACAGTACCTTTACTGACTCATGAAGATATCACCAAATTGCCCAACACTAACAACTGCCGTTTTAAATCATTATGAAATGAGGTTTTTGCCTTTTGACTTAACTCATTAAAATTGATAAAATTACGTATCTATACCTACATATATGCAGGTACAATCTAATATGATAAAAATATAAAAGGTACCTGTTGTAAAGTTGGCGGTCCATGTGAGAATATTGTGTGTGGCATTGGAGTAATACAAATAGAAGTCGTACTTAGTACCAGGAAGGGCTTGAGAAAACTTAATCACGTCTTGAATATCTTTGGAAGCTATGGTGGTATTGGGAGCTGGATAACCGTAAGGAGGATAATAATCTAATCTGTACACTACACCTTCCTGTCCCAAATTACCAGGAATGTGAATCACAAACTCTGTATCCCACACAGAAATCTGTAACAAAAGAAAATAATTTTACTTAAAATAAACGACAGGTAAAATTCTCTATCGTATTTACAGGCATCAAATTGGAGTATTAGAAGAAACAACGGAAAAGAAGAAGATACTTTTCTATTAATTGAGATTTCTCATGATTTTTCTTTCGTAATTTAGATTAATTGTTCAAATGATATGTAAGTACCTCACTCTAGTCAATCCCCGTATACAAACCAGTAAAATGTCTGCATTTAACTTTACTAAACAGTCACGAAATATTTGTACAAACCGTTACAGATATAATTTTATGCTTTTCAAGTTAGCTTTAATAAACGGTGGTTGTTTTGTAACAAAACTATACAATTTTCGAAACAAATACAGAAGTTATTTGGTTATTTCGTAAAACACTTGGTGATTTTTTTCGGGAAACAATAGGATCGTGAGAAAAACTTTACCTAACAATATAAACAGGAAATTCTTGTTTAGTGTGTGCTTTCAAGTATGGGCCGTAAAACATGTATGTATACCTGGGTAATTGCACATTAATATTCTGAATTAAGAAAGTATGAAGTAAGTACTTATAGTATTTATTAGTAAAATTAGTCATGCCAGTAAAAGAAGTTAAAAATTGAAAGGTTGTTACACATTTGTCTCACTTTCAGGGACGTATGGTATAGCTACTAGTGGGCATGAGTTGATGAAAGCTCATGTTCTGATAGCTCAAGCCCATGTGCTGGTCACTGCACGAATATTAACGCGATATAGAGATAAAACATAAAAAGCACAACCCAAAACGCTTTGCTTAATTTAAAATTGTACTGCGTTTTTATTTAATGATGCAAATTTGTCTTTGTTCAAAAGCTTTTGCGATTTTTTTCCGATGAGCATGATTGTTAAATTACTTGTCCAAGAAAATTTCAGTTCCTGGCCAAAGGGTGACGAAAAATAGCATATTCACTATCTGGTAGAAAATAAACATGTCGTCTGAAGCATTCTTTACTGTCAGTGTATAGGTGCGTATATGATACGTAAAAAAAATTTCATGGAATTGAAGGCGTTTCGAATTATCTGAGATATAGGAAATTATAGTATTGTGGTAGTTTCAAGAATGATATTTTTGAGATACCTATTCCTCATAAATATTAAACGAATATGTTTAGTGCTAATAAGTATCTATATTTTTTACAATTATTTTAATTCGAAAACTTTTCNTTTTTTAGGTATTTTGTTTAGTTACCTTAAATATTGTTAATATTTGTGCGTAACAGTAAAAAAAGCTATCGGTGGTAAAAAAGCTAATTCTATAATAACTTACTAATAACTAAGTGCACATTTACCTACTTATTATAAAAGTGTAATAAGTGATATTGAGACAAATAAATTAAAAGTAAATAGTGAAGCTGCAAAAAAACGGTGCTGTTAATTACACTGTACATATTTATTGTAAAACCTGGCCTTTGTTTAAAAAATCCAAACACTTACCTTCGAACCCTTGGTTTTCATGTATTTCTCTAGGAGGTCCAGTCAATTCTTTCCCTTCCAGTACTGTCAGGAGGCACTGATGGATACAGATGTATTGCTGTTCGGTCTGCACCATCCAAACTCGCTCTTTACGCATTTGGTAAACGATTCCGAAAATGTCCACGTAATCCATCACTTGAATCTGCTGTAAGATACGATCCAAGCAAATGAATGTACCGGATCTTCCGACACCAGCACTGAAACAAAAAATGACAATGATTATTTTATCGTTAAATTTCACGATTATTTGTAATCTAATATTACCTGCAGTGTACCACAACTGGTCGTTGGTCTGCCCCTATCCTTTCCCTGAAGGCCCTGACGAACCTGACCAGAGTATGGGGTGGATTTGGAACTCCAAAGTCTGGCCATGTCGTGAAATGGAAATGCCTGATGACACGCTGGACGTCGCCCTGAAATAAACCAGAATACAAATTGGTGGTCACACATCAGTCAATTCATACGCCATAGCAACACTTACCCTACAGACCATGAACTCTGAAACGTTCCAATCAGGGTATCTGGTCTCGTTCAGAATTTGCACGGAAATGTCCCCGTAACATGCGGGCATAGCGTCGTAAGGCCAGTAATGGTCACACTTTTCCCGACCTTTTTCCACGCATCTCGTTAACATTACGATGGCTCTCGAGTTCGATTCCCAGACCATTCTCCAAAAATCGTCTCTGGTCGAATGAAGTGGCCCTTGTGTCACTATGAATTCTCGTGGAGAATTGTGTCCCTAAAAAGACATTATAAAATAGATTAATGATGAAAATAATCATGTAATTGTTATTACCGGAACATAATTGGCATTTATATAATCCGAGCCTTCTTCATCATCTACTGGTTGCAATTTGAATCTGGAATGGTCATATGGCAATATATTCGTGAAACGATTCTTTGGCCTATTGCAAGGTAGGTCGGCAAAAGTGCAAGGTTGATCCCTTCCAACATGCTTCAGTTCCTCGAATTCCTCACTAAACCTGATAAATAATATAAATGTTATACATTTTAATAACTATTCTCATAAATAAATTATTTTACCTAAAGTCAGAGTCTGCCGACATGATTCGATAATGGTTCGAAAAATTTTCTACTCTAATTGGTCGACTGGTTACGATTACAGAGTCAGGCAAAGACATGTTATCGTTAACCCTTGCTTCTGTTGCCTTTCTGCCAGCAGACCGTCGTTTTCTTATCAATATAACCGTTATAAATAGTAAAGCTATTAGAATAATTGGAATTATTACTCCAAGAATTATCGGAGTATTGTCTTGATCTGAAATAAAAAGTAATAAAATCATAAACAAATCCGCGTCCGCAAAATAAATTAAAAATAATTTACTACATTGCACAGCAAAATACTTACAGTCTAATTTTACCACATCAGAAGCTTTAGAAAAGGAAATAAAATTTGTTTATAAATGCAAGATGGTAATGATATTCTTTTGTAATGTTACCTGTTTGAATGGGGAAACTGTAACTGGTGTCCGTGAATTTATCTGGAGCCGTAAAGGCCCTTATTTTTACTCGATACGTGGATCCAGATTTCAGAGGTCCATTACAGTACCCAACTTTACGAATATCACAGGATTCCGCTCCAATGGTGAAGTCCTCGANTCGTCTCTGGTCGAATGAAGTGGCCCTTGTGTCACTATGAATTCTCGTGGAGAATTGTGTCCCTAAAAAGACATTATAAAATAGATTAATGATGAAAATAATCATGTAATTGTTATTACCGGAACATAATTGGCATTTATATAATCCGAGCCTTCTTCATCATCTACTGGTTGCAATTTGAATCTGGAATGGTCATATGGCAATATATTCGTGAAACGATTCTTTGGCCTATTGCAAGGTAGGTCGGCAAAAGTGCAAGGTTGATCCCTTCCAACATGCTTCAGTTCCTCGAATTCCTCACTAAACCTGATAAATAATATAAATGTTATACATTTTAATAACTATTCTCATAAATAAATTATTTTACCTAAAGTCAGAGTCTGCCGACATGATTCGATAATGGTTCGAAAAATTTTCTACTCTAATTGGTCGACTGGTTACGATTACAGAGTCAGGCAAAGACATGTTATCGTTAACCCTTGCTTCTGTTGCCTTTCTGCCAGCAGACCGTCGTTTTCTTATCAATATAACCGTTATAAATAGTAAAGCTATTAGAATAATTGGAATTATTACTCCAAGAATTATCGGAGTATTGTCTTGATCTGAAATAAAAAGTAATAAAATCATAAACAAATCCGCGTCCGCAAAATAAATTAAAAATAATTTACTACATTGCACAGCAAAATACTTACAGTCTAATTTTACCACATCAGAAGCTTTAGAAAAGGAAATAAAATTTGTTTATAAATGCAAGATGGTAATGATATTCTTTTGTAATGTTACCTGTTTGAATGGGGAAACTGTAACTGGTGTCCGTGAATTTATCTGGAGCCGTAAAGGCCCTTATTTTTACTCGATACGTGGATCCAGATTTCAGAGGTCCATTACAGTACCCAACTTTACGAATATCACAGGATTCCGCTCCAATAGTGAAGTCCTCGACTGTACTGTTTTGGAATGGATAATAGGGTTCCATAACTTGATAAGGGGGCCACACAGAATAGGCTTGCACGTCCCTCCAAGAAGGCATTTCGAGCCCCGAAGAATTTTTAGTGTCATCTTCAGCAACGATTATTGCATAAGAAATTACCTACAAAATAAAAATATTACATACACTTACAAAAAAAAAAAAACAATAAATACTCACGGGTCCGTTAGCTTCGCTGAAATAATTTTTCCTGAATCTAATTTGTATGCTAGTCGTACTCTTGCAAACTTCGGTAGGAACAACTTGCATACTAGGTTTTGGTGGTGCTAAAATTGGCATTTTCTGCTTCCACACCGTTTCCGGACCGAAACCAATCCTAGTTTCGGCTTGAATCCGGAAAACGTACGTTTTACCAGGAATGAGATGCTTGATTTTTCCTTTGAATGTCTGAGGACTAAAATCTTGGAATACTGTATGTGCAGAACCCTAAAATTTTACAACAAAAAAAATAACATATCCTACCAATAAAAGAAATAAAAATATTTTCACCTCCAATCCGTAAGTGATGGTAAACTTGCGTATAACTCCATTCTGTTCAGTTATTGGTAAGGCCCATTCAAAAGAAATTTCGCTTGGTTGTATGTCAACTGGGTCGAATTTTTCCACTTTTCCCGGTACTGATTCCTTTGTTTGGAAAATTGCACTTACCGGAGTGGATTTTCTCAATATGGTTGATTGGGTTCCACTCCTGACAACGACTGTAAACGTGTAATTTCGATGCGGTTTTAAATCATTGATAGTTATCGAATTATGCAAACTCAAATTCTGTATGAGAACATTTTCAGAAGTTAAATATTGAACTTCGAAAGCATTGTATTCTCCTCGCGGAATTCCCCACGTTAACGTTATTTCAGTGTCGCTGATATACGTTGCGTTTATACCTGTTATCGGTTCAGGATCTGAACAAAAAAATTAAATACGTAATATTCAACAATTTCAACTCCAACATTCATTAAAAACTTACAAAGTCTGTCCTGCCGTTGTAATGGCTGGCTAGCAACGTTTTCGGAAACGGTCCAAACCGTTATATTATACAATCTCCCAGGTATAAGACCAGTAAATGTAACAAAACGTTCAGAATCATTGGCCAGTTTTTCTTGAACAGAAATGGTAGCCTCAGATAAGGAAAATCTGTAATGATCAAATTTGGAAATGGTCTGAGGAGTTGGAGTATAACGCAAGCTCAAAGAATCGGTCGACTGTTGATTATTGACGACCACCACTTCCGATTGTATAAGTGGCACTAAAATATCAAACAAATATTAACAGATAGACAATTACAAATTAGTAGTCATTTACTTGTTCTTGTTTTGAGTATTGTAACTCCACTTTCCAGTCCATTTGATATTGCGTTGATTTCGAAAACGTATTCAACTCCAGGCATTAGATCTCCGATGATGATTCGAATATGACCAGTGCCATTTTGATTTTGACTTTCGTTGCGTTTGTTTATTTGTGTGGGATTGGTTGCTTCCCACCATCGAATGACGTAATACTCAATTTTGCCTTCAGGACGTGGCCAGTCCAACGTAACATTATTCGAATCGACCATGGGTATAACATTTGTAACACGATTGGGAGCTACAAGAATATAATAGAAAAAAATGGTAAGACCACGAAGAAAAAATCAATCGAATTACTCACCAATGGTATGATTGAGCTGTTGGGGTTCGTTACTTTCCAACCCGTAGCTCACTGTATTGATTTGAATTGTGTACCTTTCGCCGGGGGTCATGTCCGTAACTTCGGCTTCGGTATTTTGGACAGCTGGCAATCGAACCCAAGTCCTATCCGAATCAGTTCTGTATCTAATCGCGTATTCGGAAACTAAGGAATCAGCAGGTTTGTGC